ACAAGAAGGTTAGCTTGCAACATGTTTTAACTCCAAGGAATATTCTAATTCCAATATATCCTAATTTGAATAAACTAACTGTGATAACCCAAGCCGTATTATGCTAAATTATGTATGTGATTATGTGTTTGATATGAATTTGTATGTTTAAGTGTGTGAATTATGTGATTTTGAAAATTATATCTATTGAATGTAGGAATATCTGTTGCAATTACAACTTTGAACGAAAATTGAAAGCCTTAGAGACGTCAGGAACCAAAACTGACTTCATATCTGTGTTTAGTATGATTTTTAGAGCTTATTGTGAAATTTTGTAAAATTACGATTCGTAATGATTTAATTAAGTTTAATAAGCCTAATATGTATCTAGCTACCTTGAATTCATCTTGTTGAGAGCTTTGCTAGAGAAAGTTAGAGAGAGAGGAAGAAGAGAAGCTAGAGATTTGAAAGAGATTCAAGGGGAAACTCCTAGATTTCAGTGAAGGTATGAAAATATACCTAGAATCTTGGTAAATAACTCATCTTTTGTTTGAAATTAAGAAGAATTGGAAGATTCAACACCTAAAGGAGCTAGGGTTTTAAAGTTAGAGTAAATTCAAGAAATGGAGCATTAGTCTCTTTAACTTTGCTTGAGTTGAGTTCAATCTTGTGAATACTTCATGAAATAAACTCTAGATTGTTTATACAACAAAGATTTGTGTACAAATCATCCATGTTTATATGTATTTTGAGTTTGATCATGTAATTCATGAACTTATGAAAAAGATGAGACCTTAAATTTGATATTAAAGCAAGATCGATGTGTTTGAGTTGAGATTACACTTGAATCATGTTAGTATATTATGTTTTTGAGTTAGTTTTGCATGAATTTAGGCTTGGAAATGAGTATGGAAGTTACACTTTGTGCCATTTTCGGATTGGGCTGAATTATCTAGAATCGCACGCGCGACCAAGAGTCCTACACATGCGGAACACAAGTTGGAATAGGGGCTCGCACACTGCTTTAATTGCGCATGCGGCCCTAGGTGCGGCACCTTCCCTACATGCGGAAAACAGGGGAAAAACTTGTATTTTTCTGTTAACTTCTTCGGCCCTCTGAATTTGTTTATGAGTATGTTTTGACCCTCCGTAATGCCTAAAGATGAATGGAAAACGAACAAATCGTAAAACGAATAAATAAAGGAAAAGGCTAAGAATTGAATGAATTGTTTACCGAATTTGTAAGTGTTATGTTGTGTAGGTCACCTACCAGAAGGACCGCCACATGACCAACATCACTGTGAGTAATAGTATTGTAAAAGATATGTTCACAATCACTTATTTCTAGCCATGAACAGTGACTTATTCCGATACTATTTTTTGACTGAAATGAATGGGTTTCATGAATGTTATGTGACATATGCAAAGTGGACCTAAGGTCGTTTCGTTATATTATAATATGTTGCTATTCTGTGGGCCCAAGGCCGTTCTGTACTATGTGTAGGCTTAAGGCCGTTCTGTTAATGATATGATAACATATGATTGGACCTGAGGTTGTTCTGAATAACTGTTAATGTGTGAGCCCGAGGCCGTTCTATATTATATGTGGGCTTGAGGCTGTTTTGATAATATGATGGGCCTAAGGTTGTTCTGTGTTATATGATAGGCCTGAGGCCGTTCCGTAACATGTTGGGCCTGAGGCCGTTTCGCAATATGATTATGAATATAGTGCGAAACTTATACTCATTCATTTAAACCTCTTTACTGTATTATTACTCATTGAGTTTCGCTCACTCTATATTATATATGTATATGTAGGTGATTAGCAGCATGAAGCCCAATCTTAGAGTTTGCTTTAGGAGTTAAGTCTCTAAGATGGAGCTTTTGTCTTTGGCTTACATCATGTTATGATTTGTTTTGATTTTGCTGTAATGGTCTTGGAATATGTAAATTATAAGTGTGGAGTTTTTCTATGGTATATAAGTTGCATGGATATGTAAATGCATGAATGTGCTATGATATAAGCAATGTATTTTTTTGATCATATTGGCATAGCTTAATGGATTTGCATTATTGTGATATTCTTCCGCTTGTGGCCCCATTATTAGAATTATTCTGTATGTTCGTTTAAGGCTGTAGGTAATCAAGTGATTACTGATCGGTTATGGTCTATCCACCAAAGATAAAATTATATAAAAATGATAAATTTTTTACATTATTATTTTTTTTACCAAATTAATTGTTAGTATGTATTTGGATGGTGATCATGTAATGAGTGATTATTTTAGTTGATGTTTTTAGATGTCTATCATGTAATAGATGATTGTATTGTTGTTAACAGATATTTTTGGATAGTTATCATGTAATAGATTATTATTAAGTTTTTAATGTGTAATCGATATGTTTAATATATGAAATATTTTTAATTTTGTATTTTTTGATATTATGGATTGGTTTAATAATGACATCAAAATTGTCTCTATGTTTGACTTTTGAAAAAATAGAAATTAATTTCACTAAAATAAATATAAAAAAATATTTTAAAAAATTATTTCTACTCTTACAAAAGATAAAATTATATAAAAATGATGTGTTTTCAATTTTTTTTCACCAATTTAATTTTTAGTTTGTTAGAAAAAATTTCTAAGAGTAGATTTTGAAAATCAAACTAAACAGAGCTTTATAACTAAGAAAGTTTCAACATTATTCATTAAAAAAAATAGGCCATTACATTTCAAACAATATACAAGTTAACCAATACAAAATAAGTTGTATGGTGACTTTTGCTTTGAAATAGACTGTTTGTAAAGGAAATAACTTTGATTGTCCTTATTTGGAAGAAGATTCAAAATTCATGATCAAATATTTCACAATTGAAAAGTTAAGGATCAATGTGACACAAGTTCTAAACTATAGAGACCATTAATATAATTCACCCTTAGATATAAAAACAAAGTTCTCATTTATGTGTGTATATATATATATATAGTGTGAGACAATAAAAATTAATATACGTTATATATGTTCTATACTTCTTGAGTATTTGTTGTCCTTATCATAATAGTATTTGTTGTCCTTATATATTGTAAACTCTGGTACTGTGACGACATGACATGGTCATTGACGCCAACATACGGAAAACAAACAACCTTACAACCAAAATGACAAACAACGTAGCATGTGATGACAACATCAAACGACACATCAAACAACGACATAGCATGAAGAAACACTTACGTTTGCTGGTCATCGTCATAGAGATGAGGGATCACAACCGTACTTTGTTCGCACAATTTCAATACCTGCCAATCGTCTAGTTTGACCCAATCCTAGGGTTTAACACCGTCGTTCACATAGCTGAACACAACACCACATTCGTATCTAACTATTGATTCACAAAATCTCCCTCCTACAGTTCTATATCCCTTGAATGTGTGATTTGATTAATATTTTTGAAATTCAAAAACTCATCTCAATGGCACCTCACCACGACAGCCGATTCACGTTCCCCCTCCCCTTAAAAACCCTCCTAACAAAATTTGTGTTTCCAAATTTGGGGATTCCATTTTCCAATTACTGTTTCAGTCAAACAGGTCGGACTCCTAAACTTTGTAACATACGTTTCACAACAACGTGTATAGAAACACCGCACCGACATTTAAGATATCTAAACGTATAACCCAAACATGTCCTACCATTTAACACCACATCACATAACTCATAATTCACTCCAGTAAATGACAATTTCGTTAATCAACATACTAAAGGACTGAATGGTTCACAAGAAATAATTTTGGACCATTTGAAACATTACATCACAAAACGGGATTTACCGGTCAATTTTCCATTTTATAATGACTGATTAAAAAATATGAGAGAGTATGAAAATTTATAATTAGCCTTAGACATTAGGACTAACCAATATTTTTGGTTATTTAGAGGATGTAGCATTATTGATTTATTTATTTGTTAATTTTCACCCTAAGGCTATGTTTGATTCACAAGACTAATAGTGAAAGTAATAATAATCCCATCAAATTAGTGTAATATTCACTACCCAATTGGATTAGTAGAATAAATTATCCCCTTATCATTTGTTTGATTTGCATTGGATAAGAAAAATATATAAATATAAGATTACAACTATATTTATTTTCTTTTCCAATCTTACCTTTCATTAATGTTTGTTCACAATCTTTACTTCATCAAAATTTATTCATAAACATGGTTTTGAAAAAAATTATAAATAAATAAATAAAAGTAAAACAAAAATACAAAATACAAAGGTCATGTTTAATTTGTTTTTAAATTTTTTTAATAAATATAAATTAATTTAAATATCAAAAAATATTTTTAAATTTTAAAAAATTATCTTTAGCCTTCTAAAATATAAAATTATATAAAAATAAAAAATGTTTTATTTTTTCATGAAACTAATTTTTATTTTTTATTTTTTAATTTTTTTTGAAAACCATACTAGACATGGCCGTAATTCTCACTCAACATAAAAGTCAATAATCAAAATTATTTTGGTCTTCATATTATAAAATGTCATGAAAATTCCATCAAAAAGCATCTTATATGACATTAATTGAGGGTTGCATCATGACCAACTACCATATAACAAAATGCACAAATTGTGAATAACAATGTGGGCAGTTTATTTGGTTAAACAATTGAAGTATGGACTAATTATTTTAAACTTGACTATTAGTTAAGATAGGATACATAATCCAACGGATTTGTAGTCCTAAGACTATTAGTCATGAGAATGCTAATCCAATCCGTCCAAACAAACATGGCCTAAATATATTCAAACGTTCTAACGTAGCAGAGCACTGGGGCCAATGCGTATCCCATGACCGACAGTTGTCATCTTACAACACGCCGCGCACACGTATTGAGGGCATTAAAATAATTTCTTCCCATTCCAAAGGATAACGTTATGTTCTGATATTTTCTTCTCTCTCTTCTTCCTCCTTTTAGCGCCTATAAATAAGAGGCCTTGGACCTCTATTTCTCTTAACAAATCCAATCGATCATATTCAGATCCCCAATTTCCCATCCATTTTTCTAGTGCGAGAAAAAGAGAGAAAATGGCAGGAATCATACACAAGATAGGAGAGACCCTCCACATAAGAGGCCGAAAGGAAGGCGAGAAGCAACACAAAGAAGGTGAGCACAAGGGAGAGTACCATGGCGATATGCACAAATCGGAAGACTACGAAGGAGACAAGCACAAATCTGAAGGAAAGAAGCACAAATCGGAGCACCATGGAGATGAGCACAAGGAAGGAGGGTTCATGAGCAAGAACCATGGTGGTGGTGATCATCATGATCATGAGGAGAAAGGTGAGAAAAAGAAGAAGGAGAAGAAGAACAAGCACGAGGATGGACACAAACACCATGGTCATGACAGCAGCGACAGTGATAGCGATTAGATCGCTCGCTCGCTTTATACTTCTTCTCCTACACTACTTCGAATATAATATATATACGGGGAGAAAATATTCCGGCAAGCCCGTATTCCTTTCTTCCAAGCTCCGTTTCTGTCCGATCACCTGCGAGCACGACAGCGGTGAGCTACCCGGCGGTGTGTGGCCGGAAAAACCCTTCGACGATCAAGTTAGAACATACACAGGAGATAGATAGAGAGAAGGGAGAGTGTTTGAGTGTAAGAATTTCCTTACAAAATGTTCCTGTCTCGCGTATGGGGGGCGTAGACATGCTTATATACCCTTCTGCGCCCCAAATCCACTCCCATTGGTCTCTCGACACGTGGCTCTGTTATCCCATCTGTCAGCACAAATCTTGCTATACATCACCTAACCCAACTGCCAGCCCACTGTGCTGGGAGCACGGCAGCCGGGCAACATTATCTCGGCTATCAACGGCCATACCGAACATGCCTAAGTGCAGTTAATGTCGTAGTTTCCTACTACCGGGCTTAATTCCAGCCGTGCTCAACTATATTCGAGCTGGAGATTGGTGACGCCGGTCAGCCAAAGACCTTCTCGGCCAAGCTCCAAGCACAGGCCTTCCTACCGGGTTAAGGTGCGTGCATTACAACCTTGCAACGCGTGAGCCGGGGAGCCTTATCTAGGCTGTTCCTCCACCTGTTCGGCCTTCGCGGAACGGAGATCAGATAACTCGGTTCCACGTGGGCTTTGCCATTACCGAGCAGTATCACGGCCTGATCTTAGAGCCCAATACCTCGGCCCAAATCTGCCCGGCTAACGTCACGGCCCAATCTTAGATCATAAATCTCCTTCTCAATTGCCCCTTAATTCCGTCCGCAAAAGCGTGACTAGGATTATTTATTTCGACCGGGATAACACTTCCTCGGTCCTCAGAATGCGAAATGGCGACCGGGCTAGTTGACATTCCTGTCTGCAAACTTGCCCGGTTATACTCCTCGGTTGACGTCCTCTTCTTCAAAAGTATCCTGGTTGACTCAACTCTTCAACCTGTCTCTTCAGTTCTGACGTAGTCATAAATGGGGACATGTGGCGGGCTGCCATTGGTTCTCGAGCAGCCAACCCGTCGTCTTGCCGGAATTTGAATTCGGGCGGTCTCGTCTCCTCTATAAACATTCCCCCTCCTCATCTTCTTTGAGCTCTTATTGACTCACTGCTATTCCAAGCAACCCAGAGCTCTTGCCTCTCCTCTGCCATTCCTGAACTCGTGCTCGAAGAAGAAGCAGCCACTGCTCCATATTGGTAAGCCCTCCAACCCTTGTTATTGTTATTTTCCTTGATATTTCACACAATAGGGCAATAAAACGTAGTTCTTAGGACATAGGCCATAGAAATCGTCCCAAACCTCCCACTGTTCATGGTGTTCTTCAATTTTGCTGATGAAATTCGAAGAACTGGGGCGGATCGGGCTCCAGGTCTTCGTTTGCTCCAAAAAACCATCCCGACCGAGCAAATAACCTGTTAGACTTAACCATAGCAAGAACCGGGATAACAAAGGTCTTGGCCGCTCAACCGGGCTAAAATTTGGTCTGCTTGGGCGACTGAGCTCCTTGGTTAGCCTCTACGACCGAGGTGGTTTGGCACTCTAGACGACCGAGCTAAAGTCAAGTTCGCTTTGCGCGACCGCACTCCCTCTTACACTTGCCCTCCTTTTCCTGCAGAGTCCAAGGGGACCACTGACCATTCCTGAGGCTCCCAAAGATCGAGCAGCCACAAATCACCTGACAGTGCCAAACCACAGCCGAGCTAATTTAGCCGGTCGTAAATGGGGAAATTTCGCTTCCTCGTGGATACTCCAGCTGCGCTAGTTGCGTTCAGGGAGGAGTACGGCATCCCGGCCGACGTCCACCTTGAGCTCGCAGAAGAAGAGACCACGCCTTGGGGCAGAACAGAACAATGTCCCTTCACCGTGCTGTCCATCGTCGAAGGAGGCCTCCGCTTCCCACTCAACCCACTTATCATCGAGTTCCTCCGCCGTATCGGGCTGGCACCCACACAAGTGTCCACCAACACTTACCGAATTATCAACGGCGTCCATGAACTGAACAACCGGCTAGGCACCAACTTAGGTCTAGCCGAGATATTAAGGCAATACACGATGGGTCACACCGGTGACGACCTAGCCTATTATTTGAAAATCAGACCGGGCAAGGAGAAAATTGTAACCGGCACCCCGGATAAAGACTTGCACGACGACGATTTTTTCTGGGTGTCGGGCAATTACGAAATAGCCGAGGTACCGGGCTGGTTTATAAGCAAGAACTTCGGTTCCTCATGTAAGCCGCTCAAACTTGCTCGGTTAGCCTACCTTCTTTATTCTGTAATTAACCAGTTTTCTTGTTTCTTTTGCAGCAATCCAAGCCTTGCAAGCCAACTACCAATTTTCCAACGTAGAGGCAATTCGGACCGTGCTCCGCCATCGCCACCGAGATTGGAACGAGTTGCTCGGTTACACTCCAACCTACAGATACTCTGCTCCCCGCCGGAGTAAAGTTACAGACTTTCTCCGTGCGCCATCACTTCCTCCAGATCCAACTTTGCCAAACGTTCCACTAATCCGGTTGACAGAAGAGCAAGAGATGGCCAAACGAAGCCGAATCAAAAACCTGCTCACCGCAACGTCTGCCGAGATACCGAGCGTCATCACCCGCTCTCCAGCCGTCAATCAGTCAAGGGGTGCCGTGGTCGCCCTAGCTTCTTAAGCTGCCGGGGAGTCAATCCAAGCAACACGCCAGGCTGGCAAAAGGGCTCGCGCGGACCCGTCTGCCGAGCTGATTACCGAACTATCCACCGAGCAATCTACCGACACAGCTGACCCAATGCCGGCATGGAGACCGCAGCTCAAGCACCGGGGAAAGGAGATCCTGCCTTTGATCTCTCCAAAGCCCTTCTCCTGCGGAGCGACGTGGTTGGCAGCGACCACGTTCCTGACACCCGGCTGGTGAAATCAGCTGTGAAGTCTATGACCAGGGTAAAAGTCTCAACCTTCTACTCCAATTTTTACTAGTGTTTGCACGGTTTCTTCTTCTTTTCTGATCAGGTTTCCTTTTTGCAGGCCATCCAAAAACAACACTTAGTCATGGAGCGCATCCACTGACTTCGGCAAAAGGCAGCCGACACTGACAGCCAAGTCCAAAGCCTCCAAGCCGAGCTTGGCCAGGCAAAAGCATCTCTCCAAATCGCCAACGCTGACAACAACAGGTTGCACGGTCAGCTTGACGAGGCCGAGAAGAAGCGCGATGAGCTCTAGGCCGAGCTGGACGCTCTGAAAAAGTCAAGGAAGAAGGACTGCCGAGATGCAAATAACACCGGCTTCCTAGAAGCCGAGGGAAGCTACAAGAAGCAGGTCTTCGTTACCCAAGACATCTACTTCAAAGCGGGTTGGAAGTCTGCCTGCGAGCATCTCGGTCAGGGTCCTGATACTGACGTCTTTGCCACCCCGCCGCTTGTTTCCCTGCCGGCCTACCTCGTGCCATATGCCAATGACGTCTTCAGTGCATTGCAGGCTGAGGCCGAGGAAGGGCTTGAAGAGGAAGAGGCCGGGGAAGATACTGACGGAGAAGAGCAACCAGAACAGGAGCAGCTAGGCCGAACTGAGCCCGGTGTTGAAGACCGATCTCCAGCAGTGAACTTGGAGACAACTCCAGATGATGAATTCACCAATCTCTCCCCCTTAGCTTAGTTTTTTCTTTTTTCTATTGTTTTTTTTTCTTTGCACATGTAACCGGGCTCTCTGCCCCTCCTTTTGTATTAACTTTCTATCAATGAAAAGCTTTAGTTGCATCAAGTGTTTGCACGGTTTTCTCGAACTCTATCTTCAGCAAAATATCTCGGTTTAAATCACGAAGTTGCACAAATCACCAACTAGCTTGACCGGAGTTAAAATCTCGGTAAATATAGTAAAATTAAGGAACTTCTTCAACTGGAATAAACATCTCGGTGGGAACAACAAAGTTGAACAAATCACTAATTCTTTCAACCGGACTAAACCATCATGGTTGAGCATGCCTGAACTGAACAAAACATCTTGTATAACCGGAATACACCATCTCGGTTTTAATTCTGATAGAATTAAACAAAACATCCTCTTCCTCAACCGGAGTAGGGCATCTCGGTTGGAATCTCTGAGTCGAACAAACCATCAACTCCTTCAACCGGAGTAACTCATCTCGGTTGGAATCTTTGAGTTGAGCAAACCATCAACTCCTTCAATCGGAGTAACTCATCTCGGTTGGAATCTTTGAGTTGAGCAAACCATCAACTCCTTCAACCGGAGTAACTCATTTCGGTTGGAATCTCTGAGTTGAACAAACCACCAAATCCTTCAACCGGAGTAACTCATCTCGGTTGGAATCTTTGAGTTGAACAAACCATCAACTCCTTCAACCGGCGTAACTCATCTCGGTTGGAATCTCTGAGTTGAACAAACCACCAACTCCTTCAACCGGAGTAAATCATCTCGGTTGAGAATCTCAAGTATTCAAAGCAATCAATCAATCAAAATGCTAAGGCAAAGAAGACATTTCTATATATTGACAAAAAGAATTACATTCTGAAGTGTAAGGCAAAAAATTCCTTTGCACAAAAAGAAAACAAAAGCTAGAAATAGTACAGTTTGAGGTTGGCCGCATTCCATGGCCGGAGTATTCCTCTACTATCGAGATCCTCCAAGTGGTATGCCCCCTTGCCCGCCAAACCGGTTATCCTGTAGGGTCCTTCCCAATTTGCCCCTAGTTTGCCTTCACCTGGCACCAGGGTGTTGCCCATAACTTTCCTCAAAACCTAATCACCTACTTTGAACGGTCTGGGGTGCACCGTTTTATTGTACTTCTTTGAGAGCTCTTGTTGGTAGGCAGCGATGTGGATGAGAGCCTTTTCCCGGCGCTCTTCCACCAGATCCATTTCCAGAGCAATGGCCTCGGCGTTTAGCTCGGGTTCAAAACTTTCACTTCTGAGAGTGGGCATGCCTACTTCCAAAGGTATGACCGCCTCCATGCCATAAGC